ATGCGGCTGCTCATCGCACGAGGCACTCGCAGTTCAGTGATCTGCCTTCTGACTGATGCAACTGACCAATCTTTGACATGGACCATAAGTAAAGAGTTCAACCCTATAGGGTGCCCTTGCGATGTGCTGCCACAAGGTTCGGCATCAATCAAAGTCAGGTCCAGAATCAACAAATAAAGGGATCCTCCGTGGAGATGCGAATTGAGTGTGCGCAAGCTGGCTAAACAACTAGCTGCCATAGCAGGAGCTGACGCCAGGCGTTCCGAAAAGCGTTGCCCCGAGCTCTGGTCATTTCTGATTTCTGCCCCAGATCTAACATTTTGGAGCTGAAGCTGCAACCAGCAAAAACTCCCTCCAGAGCAGGCCATTCCCTTTGCACTGCGTGGCCCATACTGGGCCCGCTGCTCGATAGCCGCAAGGTGCGCCATCTCGTCATGCACCTGAGCACCAAAACCTTGACTCTGTCCTCGAATACCCCTAACACCTTTTGACTGAGGAATAAGGGAATACAACTTCAAAATCCTCATGTAATGTAGTCTCTTATTCCCTACTGCTTCCCAGTACGCCTTGTCAGGCTTCCAATCCTACAGGGCTCCATGCCCCGCGCTTGGAAGGCCATCCCATGGCCCCAGTGACCCCAGGCTGCTTAGCTTTCGGGGTTAGCGGGGAACAAGGGAAATATGTTATAAACGGATTCTATGGGATCATATTCCCTTGTTCCCTGCTACCCACCAGTGAGTAAATTTGCCAGCTATTCCATAACGCGCGTCAGCGCAGGGCACGAATAGAAGGAGCTTTGCGCCTGACCTATCCAACATCATGCAAACACTCTGCCGGGGAGCTGGGAAGAGGCGATCGCCGGTGTAAAGCCTTTGAGCACATGGTAAAGTGGCAGGCCTTGAAAGACCTTTCATCCATGTCACCTTCCAATAGGCTCTACTGCCGGTGTAGCTTTATGAGAGTAGGGGCCCCTTCCTGGGTCATATTGAATTGGAGGCCGAGATCTGAGCTTGCCCAAAGGCTGAACATCAAAAGATCTAGGTTTATGCGGCTGGCGAGGCATGACTGATCCAAGCCCTGTGCACAGCTTGCTGCATCGCATGCACATGACCCCAAACAGAAGCTGGTACAGCCGAGGCGCGTGTACAGCAAACAACCTAAACTCCACATGTCCGCGACACAGCCTCGCGCTGCGCAGAGAAGAAGGGGAAGTTTTTGCCAGAATAGCTGCTTCATCCAGAGCAATGGCAAGTCAGAAGCTATATTATATATACATATATATATGTGTGTATATATATATATATATCCAAAAGATTCTGAAACCTCGCAAGCATCTAGCTCAACCCAATTGACTCATGCAGGCCTCGCTCAAGGCCCAAGATCACCTGCACACAAGTTACCAGGAACTCACACACTCTGAACTGAAGCATGTTCAAAAGATGGGTAGCTGGGTGTGTCATTGTTATGGAAATTTTCTGCCACTTTTTCGAGCTTGTGCAGCTTGCACGCGCATAAAATCGAGAGATTCGTGCTGGTTCAGACCGCCCTTCTACAGTTTGCTGCTGCTTCTGGTGTATGCCGGAATATAATGTCCAAATCTGTCAGTTGTAGATGATGAACATTAGCAGGATAAAGCCAGGACAAGCAGCTTACTACCGAAGTTGCAGGGCATGAGATGGCTGAATCTGATATGGCAGTGCGCGTGCAAACCGGGACCAGTAACTGATTGCAAGTGTGTTGGCACACTTGGCACACTTGCTCGGGCGTCGGGATAATTAAGCGATTGCCACCACTTGCCCCACTTGCAACACACCTGACCCACTTGACACACTTGCTCTTGCAACACACCTGACCCACTTGCGACGCACTTGACCCACTTGCGACACACTTGACCCACTTGCAACGCACTTGCCACACTCGATCCACTCCCTTCCCAGCTGCCGTAGTCGTCCTAGGTCAAGTGGGGCAAGTGCGGTGCAAGTGGGCCACGTGTGTCGAGTGTGCTCTGAGTGGGCCAAGTGGGCCAAGTGGGGCAAGTGTGCTGCAAGTGGACGGGCCAAGTGGGGCAAGTGTGCTGCAAGTGGGCCAAGTGTGTCGAGTGTATTGCAAGTGGGTCAACTGTGTTGCAAGTGCCTGTGTAAGCCTGAAACCACTTCCCCAAAGTCTCCCTCAAAATAAATGGAGTTTGAGGGAGACTTTGCGTGAGGCGGCAAGGCAGAAAATGCTGTCCGAAGTGGGTCACCCAGGTCAGGCGCATCGCCAGCAGACAGGAGGCTGTAGAAGACTTGAAAATCGCAGCAGGTTCCCTCACACAGAAGACAGTTTGAGGGAGACTTCTGGTGGGACAATTTTCTGGTGGGACAATTAGGTTGCCGCTTGCAGCCCACCTGACCCACTTGCAGCACACTTTCCCACTAGCGGCACACTTGCCCTGCCTGGCCCACTTGCAGCCCACTTGACCCGCTTGCAGCCCACTTGCAGCACACTTGCCCCGCTTGCACCCCACTTGGCCCACCTGACCTACTCACGTGGACCAAGTGTGTCGAGTGTGTCAGGTGTGCTGTACAGGCAAGTGTGCCAAGTGTGCCAGCACACTTGCAATCGGTTAATTTATCCCGAAAAGCAAGTGTGCCAAGTGTGCCAACACACTTGCAATGGGTTAATGGTTCCCGCCTGCGCTCGCAATGTGATATGGGAGCTTTTCTCAAAGTTCAGGCTTTGGTTATATGGATCCTACCGTCCTGAAGCATTTGGGGGGATCAGACTCTGAGACTCTGAAACAAAGCTACTACTTTGACATTGCCTTTGAGTTGCGCAAGGATTCTGGAATCTCAGCCACATAGTTCGTGCGGTTTAAGTACATGTGATCCTTGATATGCGTGATTTTCAAGCAGCAGCTGGACTCCCCGACTGCTCAATTCTCATCAATCCTTGTCTGCCTCAGGTCATGTGCCAAGTTGTCAAGCTCAAAGTGGGCAAACATTGCGCATCCATGTAGTGACTCTCAGGCACAGTCGAAAAACGACATTCGGGCAACTTCTGGCAAAGGTGCACCCGGCTCTGAACCAAACTGCCATCTATGCATCCAAGCACGGCCATGGATAGCCCCCTAGCGTGCTGCAAGTGGGACAATACAGCTCCGAAGGGAATCTCCTAGCAGCAAGCGCTAGCTTGTACAGCACAGGGGTTGAAATCACTGCTTAGAAAAAGTGGCTCCGAGAGAAGCCTCCGGTGCCCGGATGTGACGAGCGCCTACGCGAAGCCGGCTGCGCTCTCCTGGGACCCCAAGTGTAAATTTGCCGCATCCAGGTCGATTTTGCAGGGAACATGTGTAGTATAGACACTGCAACAGCAGGATTCAACGGCAAGCGTTTAACGTCTTTCAAACGCTGTAAGGCAAGTCCAGAATGACATGATCGACATGCGTGGGGATCTGAGGCTTCGCAGTCGCAGCAAAGATGGAACTGAAGGATTTGATTGTCTGGGTTGGTAAATCAAATGTGCGAACGAAGTCTCAATCATGTTTATTGTCCTTGCCTTAAATCGTATTCAGTGCAGTTCCCCCAGCCAACTTTACTGTAGACTCTAGACTCTACACGGGTGTATTCTACATGCCCGGTTTCACCGGAAACCTGTTTGCTTAGTGTTTGGCGACAGGTGCCTCAATATTTCTTTTGCAGACTACCTCACAGTTGCCCCCTGGCAGCACCTTCTTCGTGTCCAAAGAGGAAAGCTTCAGCGGAACCTGCGTTGGCGAAGCAACATTTAAAAGTGTATTCACGCATGAAGGTCAATCATACGGTCATTCAAGCGTGCAGGCCCTGACCTGGTTCGTTCTCGATAACATTGGCCAGGCCAAAATCGATGACCACTACCTGCAAACGATTCGGACATTTTGGGTTCAGTGCGTGTCAACTGCCAGGTTGACTCTCCAGGTAAGATGTTGGTCCCTGTACGATTGCATCACGATCGCTGTGTCCCTGGAGAAGTTCTACAAGCAGGGCTGGAAACTCAAGCAATTTTAGCCGTCTGGCAGCGATGCAAAGTTGCAGTTTCTGGCTCTGCTGCTTCGCTCCCTCCAGAAAAACCCTTGACACATTATGACCCACTGTCTGAGTTCCATGAAAACGGTACATTAATGTTGCCTGCTGCGAATGCCTGCTGAGTTCCAGCTGCTCATACCTACTCAGGTCCGGGGACAAGCTTGGCCACGGGAGTCATGAGCCTCTAACTCCGCACCTCGTCTCAAGCACTTCAAATGCCCAATGTGGGCCCCACATAGCCCGTCTATGAACAAATAAAATGCCCTACATTAATACGACCGCTGGCACGGCCAGTTAGCCCCGACATCTTGTCTAGTTGTACTTGCCCGCCCTTCTAGAAACTGTTGCCATCAGCCCCATGCCCCAACATCTGTACCTTGCTCGCGAGTCTCAACCCCCGTCAGGAAAAGAGCTTATCAGGAGCCATGGCTCCTCGCGTCAACAACAACTTTGCATCTCTTGTTTCTGTGCCGTGGTGCTCGGGTACATGGGTCTTGTGACTTGGTGACTGCGGGTAGGCAGTCAGATGCCCAAGGGGACAAGTCATCTTATCCGGAAAGCCTGGGCCTCAATTGTTGCTGGTGGTGTGTTTGGCTGGACAGAAGTCCCTTGTTTCAAACTCTATTCACTATGCCAGCCATTCTTCTGAAAGCCATCCAGAGCAGCAGTAGTTACTGGACCTAACCACACCACATGCAGTAGAAGATGGTAAGCCCAAGGTCCCCTGGTGCAGGAAACCTTGTTGGAAAAACAGGAATCGAAGCTGCCGTGCAGCGACATCCAACGATTGCATTGGCACCACGACCTCTGATCGGATAGTTGCCCATGCAAAATTCTCGAAAAAACCTTCTGCAATCAGTCTTGCGCCTGGGGCGTTGCAATTAGCCTGGTGCTTCACTTGGCGCAGCCTTCGCGACAGGTGTTCCAGGCAATGCTGGGCCCGTCAGCAAGACTTCCTCATATATTGAAAACATCTTCGTCGGCAAAAATTTGGTGTTTGGTCTCAGCCTGCAGAACTTGAACAATGCAGGCTCGATTTGCGAGCTGAATGGCAGTGTGCCCTCGATTGTTGGGCAACTCAGGGTCGGCGTGTGCCTTCAGCAACAGCCGCACCAACTGCTCGCGACCAAGGAGGGCTGCAATGCCCAAAGCGGTGCAACTGCCTTCTGCTAGGAACCGTTCCAGCAGTGGTTGCTTGCGGCAAGAACCCAATCGACATAGCAGTCCGTAAAGTCTTGCAACGCCACGGGCTCGCCCGGCAAGATTGATGTCTGCCCGGGCATGAAGGAGCAGCTGGACAGCCTCCGGAAGGTTGGCATTGCCATCTGCTGAGACTGCCAGAGTAGATAGCGCTGCTTGGCCTACGCCGCAGCCACGATCATTGGGGTCTGCACGCGCCTTGAGCAAGCGCCCCATCACAGAGGTTGGAGCACAAAAGATGCAAGAGAGGGCCAAAGGTGTGAGGCCTCCGGGAGGCTTGGCAAAGTTCACCTCCGCCCTGTTTGACAGCAGGAGGTCCACTGCCTCCACATTGGAACAGAAGCCAAGGCATGGCATTCCTGCAAGGTTACAGGCGTTCGGGTTGGCCTTCAACTTCAGGAGCTCTTCCACCACAGAACTGTGGCAATGGCTGGCCGCCAGATGCAGCGGAGTCCATCCACGGGTGAGACCTGCCTCCATGACTCCCGGCAGCTGAGGATTCAGTTCTGCGCCCGCGGCCACCAAGTGACGGAGCATCCCCACATCCTCGGCCAAGACAGCACAGGCCGTGGCTACGATGCCCATCTTCGCCTTTACTGCGGCCTCCATGGACTGGAAGCCAAATCGAGCAGGAAAGCACTCCACGGTCAAAGGAGAATTTGGTAGCCCAAGAAGCCGGTTTTGGCCAGCCACCAGATACCTGAAGAGATCCAATCGGTTTGGGCTCCCATGGAGGCTCCCAAGCTTTGCCTCAAAGGCCGTCTGCATGACCTTTGCTACTCTGGCTCGGTCCGACTCGACTGTGAAGTAGCCATCGTGGGCAGACTCACGGACCCAGTGCACAGGCATCGCGAACCTTGCAATGCGAGTCGAACTACCAGAAGGCCAGCCAAAGAGCAGGTGAGAAACCCATGATGATGGCGATTCAGGCAATTGGGGCAAACGATTGCAAAAAGCAAATCAACAAAGTGACTGCTGCAAGGCCACTGTCAAACCCTTTTCATGAGCTGAATTAGCTTGGGGCCACCCAACTTGAAGCGAAGAGGCTCTGCATGGTCGGAATCCTGGATCACCACGAAAGGTGCCTCTGTGCCATGGGAGAGCAGGTTGCACCAAATCTCCATCCGGCACCAGCCCCTGCCAAGTACTAAACGTACAGCAGAGGCATGGACAGGACATTGTGAGGTGTGTGGCGTGCTGGCTTACAAAACGTACAGCCTGCTGCAAAAATCCAGCATGTGATCTGCGCATGAATCATACAAACCGCTGGCGGGTGACAAGAATGGCTCCAGTTCAACTCAATGAGCACAAGTGTCGATTTCTGCGAGGACTGGCGAGTAGTTGAATGACAGGGTTGTCACAGTTCACAACCCAAGCAATCTGGAATTGATACGCATGAATTCATGGGCCTGCCTGCTGAGCCAAGTACAGTAGTTGCACTCCCCGTGAAAATCATTGTGCTGTAGCGTTGGGACAAGGGCCACGAAGAGCTTGCACGTCTCCACATAGAAAGGGATGGACTTCACTGCAAGAAACACGTCGCCTCTCATCTGTCCCTCCTCGTTGCCCTCCTTGCCAGACTAGGAGTAGCTTAGATTTCATTAGCCAATGCCTAGAATCATGGCGCATTGCTCGGGGAGAGCTTTGCACCTGTTATAACTTCCCACTGGCTCCTTGACTTCGATCTGTGGGATGGAGAACCAGTCGAGCCAAACATGAGCATTGCGAAGTTGTTGTCTGTCCCTGGGTAGAAGAACCCGCTTATAGCCAGTCCATTGTAACGGGATGTCCTCTCAAGACAAACACATAGACCTGACACTCATGTTTAGACTCAAGTTTAGACTGTTGCAGCAGTTCCCTATACACCCCCTCTCGGTCCCTGTAAACTTTAATCGCAGAAGGCAGCAAATCAAGTGGCCGACTGTCCCTAGCGAGTATTCTCGAAAAGCCTAAAAACAGTCTCCAGCTCGACGTCGATGCGGCCCGCGATGATGTTTCGGAATGCCTCTTGAAGTATGGCGAACTGGCCTAAAGGAGTGCAATCAATATGGGTTCCATCAGCATGAACACGCAAGGGCCAGGCGATGCGCGGCCCTTTGCATGAATGAAGGCACCAAGACTTCTCATGTAGATTCGAACGTCATGCTTAGGAAGCTGGGCAGATGCCAGGCAACACTGGGGATAGAAAATGAAAAGTGTTGCCAAGTTGCTACCCTTCTCATCGGGATGGTGTTTCCCCAGCCACTGGTGCGATACAAATACGGAGTGGAAGGATGGCTGGCACTCGACAAGCAAACCTGTGACATGCAGCAAAAAGAACACAAAAAGAACTTCAAAAAGAAACTCAAAGATGCTCAAGCTAGCACTTAGCCTTGAACCTGCAGCCTGCTTCTAATTTCGCACCCGCAAGCCGCCCGCAAGCCTGCATCTTTGAGCTCCTGATGGCTCGGAGGGACACCGCTTATCTGCAGGAGGTCTTGCATGGCTACCACCCACATGGGATGGAGCTGAGGGTGGTGGCCTGCCTTGGATGGTCAAAGCTCTCGGGGCTGGGAAGCTTGCGTTTAGGGTTACAGTGGCTGACAACGCTTAGCTTGGCTGAGCCTTTCTTCAAACTGGACTACAAAAGCGTGCAAGCATTCAAGAAGAGCCTCCTGTAAGGCCATGGCCCACGGATTCCACCTCTCTGACCTTTCATCCTCTTGAGCTCGAACTCTGCGCGCAGGAAGGTACAGATTGCCAAAAATGTGCAAACAGAAAGGAGCTGGGTGCTGTCTCAAAGATCGGCTTGCTAGTGATCTGGTGGGTTCTTGCAGACTCCTGCCCAAAACGCTCAAGGTATGCGACACTACCTAACACCTACGACAAGATCACCAGGTACAGCCGAAACCAACTTATCTTTCCTATCCGAGAATAGAGGTAAAGATGGCAGACATAGTGGGATTTACTGGTCTCAGAAGCTTTACCGGCATCTCTGCCAGCCTCGAAAGGCCAGAGGGGTCGAGCTGCAACCTTGAAACCGTTTCCAAGCAAATCCATGGGCTGCTGGGCTGTTGGGCTTGACTTGTCAGAACTGTAACCCCTCTTTGGGCCTTTTCAAAAAGATGAGACTGGAAGTAGCCATTTTGCAGCACTGGCCCTGTTCCTAGTCGAACCTGCACTTCCTGTGGCATAGTTGCCTCGTATGAAACCCTCACAGACCCGCAACTGAGTAAGGTGTTCCGGGACACCTGAACCTGCAGACCCTGCAGGGCCGGTCCTCATCCGGATCTCCTTGACGAGGGTGTGGCTGTAGGTTGAAATCAGGCCGGCGGAGCATGACATTGGTGCACCTCAACTGGACTTTTCTGCCAGCGCAGACCATGTGAGACAGGGTGATGGGCACGCCGCGTGGAGAGGAGGAGTAAACAATGGCAAGAAGGAAGAGGGCAGGCAGAGAGTGGGGCAAACAAGGAAGAAGGAGAGCAGGAGAAGGAAGAAGAGGGCAGTGATTCACAGCAGGGCAGAGGCCAGAGACAGAACAGAGCACAGAAGGCAAGGGGGGCAGGAGAGGGTGAATAGGAAGGAGACGAGTAAGGCAGGAGGGACGAGGGCAAGGGAGGGGAATAAATAAAAAGAAGTTTTGATTCAATGGATCCAGAAAATTCCGGAATCTGATCACTGAGGCTGGTGTTTTTTGCTTTTGTGTTTAGTACAATTACCAATCTGGGACTATTACAGTGCGGGGGGTGGACCTAATGCACGCGTCAAATACAAATCTGAGCGGCTTGAGATCTCCGTGCGCCAGGTGTAGGCTCGAGAAAAAGGCTAAACAACCTAGATTGCCAGCACCACAGATGAAAGCCTGGAAGGTTTGTTCAAGAATAAGTCTCATCATGAAATACAAAGAGTGCCAATTAAAGCCGTAGTAGCTAGTGAGCTGAAACGCCGCAAGGCGTATGTCAGCCTGGGCCAATTTCAAGCGGAATTGCGTCTGAAAAAACACTAGTGCAATCTGGTGCAGTACAAGAATCAGCTGAGCACATACGTAACATGCGGGACAAAAGATGCACTAATCGAAGCATCCCGTGCAGGCAAACAGTGCAGGATCATTGGGCACAAGTGCGTGCCATTGCGCAAGTGGCTATGCACCATCAGTCACAGGATCAAAAGGCTTTAGTTCCTGAGTGCAAGCTCAAAGTTGTCACCTCATGCCTCGGGCTTCCTTGGAGGCACAGAATTCAGCTAGCAGCTCCTACGCAGGGAGCTACAAATCGCAAGCCTGGACTAGACTAGACCGTTGAAGCCGGCTTTGGGACCACAAGCCAACAGTGCGGCTGCGTTGCCAGGAACAATCCGCCGGAGCTTCCCTCCTGCTGCTCTTCAGAGAACAGAATCAGGGGTCAATGTTTGACATGAGGATTAATGAGGATGTCATTTGCAACTGGCCATCTCCACCCAACTGTGCGTAGCCCTCATGTGCCTTGGGGCACACGAAGCACCCGCAATCTAAGAACATTTCTGCATTTCGGACACCAGTGTCTGTCCCACAGTTGGGGGGTTCAGGATATCGGATGAACAGGTTTCAGAAGTGCACTCCGTGTTGGGATAAACAATGTTGTGAGGAATTGTCGATGTAGGGAGCCGCCTTAAACGTGATTGCCCTGTACTTGCAGGGCACTGGCTCTACCACTGCTTGCACCCTTGATCAGATAAGCCCGAACCCAACCAACTGCCTGGAGGAGGTTTCGAAGGCTCATTGCCAGCGGCTCCATGACAATGCAGTAGAAATTCTCCTCCTCAACACTTGGTGAACATTGGCACTCCTTTTAGCTGTACAAAGGAGACAATCTTGCGTGGCATTGCGTGGCGCTGTGGCGGCTGCCAAAGCGCGTGCAAGGCTTCTACAGTGCTGCTACACTATCAGTGGCTATGATTGGATTCAGGATTTGCCCCCAACGATATAGGCGCGAGGGCTTGACTCACTATGGAATTCGCGCCGCATTGACGTTGCACCGAGGGGCATGCACAAAAGCATCAAGCAGCTGCACGACGTGTCTCCGAGCCAGCTCTGGATTGTGCTTCCTCAATTTCAGGCTACAACATGCGCCGCAATGGCAGCGATTGTAGCAATTGAGGGGCGCTGGTGCTATACGGCTTCAAAGCCAAGCAGCTGCAGCTTCCGCAGCATGGCCACCTCCGTCTCTGCATGCCTGCAACAGCGCCCGGTGCTCAAGGCCACACAACACAAATTCCAAAGCATCTAACGCATTTTGGTCCAAGCTGGTGGAGTGAACGACAGAATACGTTCATAAGTCCCCTTCCTCCGCGTCCGTCTCGCCGGCCGCGACACCTTCCTCAGCACGAGTCTTGGGATGTATGCTCGGAAGTTCCTTGATTCGGTGTAACGAAGAGTCTCGCATTGGGCTTGCCACTGTGTCTCTCCCCTGTCTCTCCTCCCTCTAGCATTAGACGTAGTAAAACTGACATGCAGATTGATCATTCGCGACTGTGCTGTTGAAATAGCTCGCGATAGGCTTGCGTTGAGCGCTTATGGCATATGAAATCGCAGTCAGACGGTCCTGGAATGTCCTGACCTACCTTTGCATTGGCATTGTAGGCGGACAAACAATGGCAGCCTAGCATCACAGCCACGACGGCTCCTTCGACCTCGTCATGGCAACCTTGGCTTTGCGCAGATAAAAGGGCCCACACCGCGCAAAACAAAAAAGGCAACGATGCACATTGTGGTAACACGTGTCGCCGCGCAGCCCGCATCATTCTGTTTGTCCGCTGTTGCAGGAACACGGTTTTAACCCCACATACACAGACTATGCGCATGTCTTCTGACAACCTCAGCTTTGCTGGTAGCTGTAAACTCTATGCGGAGTCTGCCCAAGCAGCGGAGGACACGCCCTGAAGCGCCATCACCCAGTGCGCGCTGGACAACATAACGGCCTGCAGCACAGCGACTTAAGGTACTGTAGGCTTTATGGGACTATGGCTGAGGTGCTTGCGAAGCTCTGTGTTCTGGGCCGCGTGGCTGCCCATGGGAAACAAAGTCCAAGACCCGTGAGAAGAAGTTTTCGATAAGTCACAAGGGGCACCCTTGAAGCCTTACTGGAATCCTCTTCATTTTTCCCCTGAGAAATTTGAGAGAGCATTATGAGGCCAAGCGTGGTGTGTAACAGTTGATTGGCTGCTGCCACGCTCATCGAAGAACGCCACGTCCCAGGCTCGTCCAAACAGTAGGCTAGGTTGATATGTATGACATGAAATCATTTCACCTGTTACCACAGACGAATTGAGAAATGCGCAGGTATCCAAGTATTTGTACTCCAGACTGTTTTGTGCGAGCGATTTTGGCTTGCCGACTTCTCATGATATCCTGGGATGGCACGCTGAAGACTGAACCTGCCTGCATCGCCCAGCTGCTGTCCAGCCTCGGCGGAAATGTGAGGTGGTCCTGCGCGGGATCTGCTGCTGTGGCAGGCTTGGGAAAGGCGTGTCAGGTGTGTCCAACTTGCGTTTCCACGAAAGACACACCTCAAACGAGAGCCCTGCAGAATTCCAACGCTAGTACAGACAACCACATCTGGGCCCAAGCTGCTGGGAGGCATCTTGTTAGCCATGCGGCACATGTCATTGTTTGACAGTGCTTCCACGACCGATTTTGGATCCAGCTACTCCTCTTCGCCGAACGGCGGGCAGCTTTGAACTGCATGCCCGCCTGCCCCTGACAAGCAACCTGATGAGCTCATCATAACAAAACCATGTAGACTGCTCAATCCTCTAATAACAACAGTGAATAACAGAACTGCTCAAATCATGAGGAAGACGTGCTTAATCCCTCTCCTCCATCTCTGCACTTTGGGGATCGCCGTCTCCTGCGAAGGCTGCAGCTGATCCAAGGTTCCGGGCCAACACGAGAAAGTTGCGCTGAGCGAAGCGAACGCATTGTGAGGTACAGATGACCTTGTGAGCCTGACCAAGACAAATGAACTCCATGAAGGACCCTTGTAACCAACAAAATCACAGGCTTTGATTTCCTCCAAACTTGGTGACCCACATCGACTTTGAGCAAGGGCTTCTTGCAAACCCAAGGCCAAAGGAGGAATGGGAAATCAACAAGGCAGCCCTCTGCCCATCTTGATTCAAACCACGATTTTGTATGTTGGGCTCGTATGACTTGGCCACATCAACCAACAGTGCATCATGTGTCGCTCTTACCAAGATAGATTCTTTCAGCAGTTCGGTGCAGCTAATTACCACATTAGTCCTCTGGCGCCCACTGCTCTCGCTGCTGTCTCGCCGGCGTCGCCGCCTTTCGGCACACTGCACTCTGGTCTTATGCAAGGCCTTCTTTAGTCTTTAGGTGTATCCTGTCGCCGACCAGCTGGGCAACAAACATCAATGCCCCTTTTAGACTTGCGGCTTTGAAAAACTGCTACGTGGCACCAATCAGTTGCAGCCAATACAAGAGAAATTACTGGAGGTAGTGGCACAACTTCCGACACAACGACTGATGCTTCACCCGCTGAGGAGAAAACCCTACGCGGCACCACCGCGCGCAAAGCTGGTATCCTCTTATATACACAATGCAACAAACGTACATGCTGGTGTGTGTGTGTGTGTGTGCGCAAGGACAGGAGGCAACCGAAAATTCTATGTCCGTGTAATGCATGCAGAGAGGTGACTGCAAACCCAGATTGCAGGAAGTAACAGCAATCATAGTCCAGGATAAAACATCGAAGTCTCCCCTCTTCCTTTCAGTTGCGCACCTGTCTCGGCGGCCGTTTGAGCCTCAATATGATGAGGTTGGGCTTTTGGGGCTTTTGGCTTCAGCGCGAATTCGATTCTTGAAGTGTGGTTTGGCCTCCACATGCCGCAGGCCAGCACAGCTGAAGTTGAAGGATAGTTGAAAATTCTGGGGCATAGCCATAGACTTGCCACGTACTTCGCGGGAAATGATTTTGATGAAGTCAAATGCCAAACCAGAACCCTTGGCATTCCTTGGATGCTCCGAACACCATCGAAGAAGAGATAACCTGCCAGAACCTGCCAAGCCGCGCTCTGGGCGATCGGCGGGCCTGGTTCAGATGTGATCGAGATTGCATCATGAAAGCATGCAGGCCTGTAGCCTGCTGGGGAATTGCCCTTCCTCTTTTAGTGCGGAATGCTGCGACACTCAACCGATCAACGGTTTAGCGCTAGCCGCTAGACAAACCACGTATGGCTGCCTGCTGTACCAGGCGTTTTACTACTGGGGCGCGCCTCCTTTGAACCCTGGCGTTTTTAGGTGAAACTGTGTGAGCAACAGCCCGCACCAGCAAGTGCAGTTCTGGAACTCTCGGCCATATGGCAAAAAACATCATTGTTTCAATCCCCTCCGAAACTCTGAGACCAACGCTATCTGCGCAATCCTGGACCTTGACACTGAAAACCATATCTGAACTTACTAGTTCTTAGTAGGGGATAAGGGAAGATAATCCCTATATCAGCCCTACATACTATTACGATCCCTTATACTTGGAGCCAGTACATGAATGAAATTTCCGAAGAGTTGCTCTTGGCTTCCGCTGCCATGGCCTCAGACACCAGCTTCGGGAAGCTGGGCACAAACATAGAACTAACATTGGGGGATTCCCAAAATAAGGTATAATAGTTCCATGTTCTTTTCCGTTTTCTGTTCTCCATATAACCCCAACATATTACAGTAGTTTCCATTTTCTTTTCCGTTATCCCGTATAACCCCAATATATTTGAGTAGTTTCCATTTTCTTTTCCATTATCTCCATACAACCCCAATATACTATAGTAGTTCAATGCGGTAGGTGAAAATGTAGTGACAGCTACTTGATGTGCTTGTCATCCCCAGTACGATGGCTTCTTACATGGCCAGGTCCCACCAAGGCCCTTGCTGCGGTTTCTCTGCCGCTTGTGTCGACGGCTGCGCTCACCTGGCAAGCATCTTTCCGCAGGCTGCTTCCACTACTTGAACTGGCCTGCGATTGGAAAGTCGAGACCGCAAGAATGCAGATGCAACGCAGATACCACAACCAAAGAACAAGGTACACATGCGGCCCGGAAGGCGGCGGGCATCAGGAGCGAAGCTGCTTAGAATAATTCTGGCCCATTTCATTCTGGACGCATCAAGTATGAGTCATTTGACTCAATCATCTGTTTCACAGAGACGAAAAGGCAGGAGCGCCTTCTACGTCAAGCACAATTTGGTGTGCAGTAGATCCTATCTGTTGTTCAGCTGATCCAGGAATCTAATTAGCAGTCCCAGCTGACCATCGCAGGTATCCACAGGGCATGCCTTATGTCACACACCTTGGGCTCAGAACCTCACCTGCACGCAAGGAGCATGAGGACACTCCATGAACCCAACAGATCACTTACTAGCTGCTATTGGATGAATTATACAACACACATACATATAACCCCCAATGCTAAACTATGTTCCATGTCCCTTTCCCTTCCACCAAGATGATATATATATATATATCTATCTATCTATCTATCTATCTATCTATATATGTGTGTGTGTGTGTGCGCGTGTGTGTGTGTGTATGTGTATATATATATATAAGACCCCTACATGGTCCCAGTCTCCATTTCATTTTACTTTTCCGTTTCCATTCGGTTCTCCCCTCGTGCTTCATACCCCTATTATATAACACCCGAGACCCTGGGGTTTCAAGCATGCCATTGGCTCCGTCACGCCGCCGCCGAACTTCGGCCATGCGTGGCACGTGAAGATGCTAGCTTGGTCTACGAGACCTTTTGGTTGGTTCTTTGGTCTGCTTTCATTTTGGGGTATGGTTTCTCCAAGAGTTCAGTGGTCGCGGCACAGGCACATGTGGCACGAGGGCCCTGACTCATGACATACACCAGCAATGACAACGATGGTGTCCTGAATAGTCTGCATATTCTTGGACTGCTTCAATGTGGACGACTGTTGTGCTCTCAGGGTTCTGTCATGGTAGCTGAAGCATTGGACCTGCCATGCTGTGCTCATGTGCTCATGCTTGCTGGGGTTTCCCTAAGCCGTACAGTACAGGGCCGGCATGTGTGAGCCTGCTGCGAACCCCGTGCGCGCGCACATGAATTTCAACATCAAAGCGCTCACGGTTCATTGATTCTCGATGCAATGTAAGCATTCTATAAACATGTAAGGTAAGCCTT